AGCGTCTGTCAAGCTTGCAAATTCTTTCTCCAGCAATCAGCAAGTGTTCAGAACCTCTGGGATTTCAAATGCAAGGCGCATGGTTGGTGTTAGTCCTGCACCTCATGTCGGCGCCAATGCTTTGGCTTACATTGACACGTTCTTCCCTTTGCACTTATCCAGCTCTTCCCTGTTCACTAACAATTACCGTAATTACTAAACGAGACGCAAACCGGACATATATAGCAATTTGGCATGCCGCTCATCTGACATTGGCGGAAGGTGGAAGTGAGAGCGTGCGCCAACTCATTGTCCGTCCCCATGCAATGGCATAGGGCGAAGGCAAATGGAAACTCTTCTTGAGGATGCCCCTGTCCTGTCAGGGAGGAAGGCTCCTGAAAAATGTACAGTACGCGTCAGATCGCGTCAGCATCTTGCTTCGGGGGGCTATGAAAAACCAGACTTCAAAGGTTTCAGAGTTTTCCGTGCCTCATGTCATGGTGATGGCAGCCTAGCGGATGAGTCTATGTGCCATCTGTGCCAAAACTTCTTTAGATACTGCAAACAGTGCAGTTCATATCTCGGAAGTTCTGACTGAAATGCTGCGCTCGTTGGGAACCAACGACCTTGCAAAAATTCAGCAGCTTGTCCAACTATCAGTCCCTTATCTGTCACTCCTCCCCTTGAACCCTGCCAACACTGAACACTGAGCGCCAGTGTTGCACCAAACATGATTTGATCTCTACTTTTCGATCTTTTCGGTCAAAGCTCAAAGGAGGATTGCAGGCCTGCTCCCGCTTGCTGCGTGACACTCGCGTTTGGATGGAGTTCATGCAGCACCAAGCATTTAAGTTCTCTTTACCTTTAACGATGTTTGCTCAGTGCTTTCAGCCAAACACGTGCCACATCATGCAACATCATGCACAAAAGTTGGGCTTTGCACGGCGTCGTTTGCTTGCGTGCTGGAAACGCACTCTCAACTTGAATCTCTCGCACGTAAAATGGAACCCGTGCTTTTGCACAATATCACACATAAAGCTCAGGTTCTTGGTGACCTGCCTAGCAAGCGAAACTAGGACGAAGAAAACCAAAACTAGGCCGGTGCGGGAATCTGATCTGTCTATGCATGGCCTGGCATGGAGAGAAATTTCTCGTGGTCTTTTTTCTCACCACCACCACTGTGGAATCTTGCACAAATCTACTTTCTGCCATGGCGCTTTTGGTGTCTGTTGGCATTCAGGAGGCCATGATTACGTCCGGTTAGGTGACAACACCACCACCGCCCCAGGACTATGAAACTTACAAGATGCCTCTTCATTCATAGATTCAGTGCAGACGTGCTACTAGCATGAAAGACTTTTTGTCCACATCTTATTCATTCAATGTTCCATGAATTCGTCAAAGATAGTCCAAATGTTCTGCCCTTGAGTTGCAGGTGCAAAGGTGCAGTTCAAGTTGGAAGCTGGACATGGACTACGACGCTGACACAATTTTCCGAAGGGATTTAGAGCCAGAGCTTTTGAACATGAACCTTCCCACATCTACGTTGACACCCTGAAACTTACTGCCCTCCAAGCTTTCAAAAACATGGGAAGAACTGCACATGCTGTGGGGTACTTTAGCGCATCCAATCTTAAGCATTGTCCCCTTGCTGCAGCCTGGGACTGATTGCTGGCGAAAGGGGTGTCAAACATGCTCCGTTCCCGCGCGGTTGATTTTTTAACATCTAACTGAATGCTGGACCTTATAAACGGTGAGTATAGGGGTAGTATAAAACACTACATCAGTTCCGCATCTGATGCTGCCCACGGGAAACCTAGGAGAGCAGGCTCCCCGAACATGTGTCCTCGTTCATCAGTTAAAACGACCATCTACAGACTACTTGTTATAGACACCTCACCGCACATTTGGTGTACTGTTCGGTCAAAGCTCAAAGGAGGATTGCAGGCCTGCTCCCGCTTGCTGCGTGACACTCGCGTTTGGATGGAATTCATGCAGCACCAAACATTTAAGTTCTCTTTACCTTTAACGATGTTTGCTCAGTGCTTTCAGCCAAACACGTGCCACATCATGCAACATCATGCACAAAAGTTGGGCTTTGCACGGCGTCGTTTGCTTGCGTGCTGGAAACGCACTCTCAACTTGAATCTCTCGCACGTAAAATGGAACCCGTGCTTTGACAATATCACACATAAAGCGCAGGTTCTTGGTGACCTGCCTAGCAAGCGAAACTAGGACGAAGAAAACCAACACTAGGCCGGTGCGGGAATCTGATCTGTCTATGCATGGCCTGGCATGGAGAGAAATTTCTCGTGGTCTTTTTTCTCACCACCACCACTGTGGAATCTTGCACAAATCTACTTTCTGCCATGGCGCTTTTGGTGTCTGTTGGCATTCAGGAGGCCATGATTACGTCCGGTTAGGTGACAACACCACCACCGCCCCAGGACTATGAAACTTACAAGATGCCTCTTCAGTTAGCAACTGACCAAGGTGGTCAGTAAGTCTGAGACAACACTGATTTGAACCGTGCTGCAAGCAAACGGCCCAGTCCAGGCCCGGGCTTCTATACACGTTCATGGGTGAAATTGGCAGTGCCTTTCAGCCTTCCAAGTGCAAGGTCCTGCCAGCTTTCCCAATCATTGCAACAGTCAGCGAGAACGCCAGCACGAACGCCTCTCGGGATTTCAGGCATCAGCAACCCTCTGCTAGATTCAATACAGCATAATCTGACACGGACACATCCACCAACACGTGTTTCACACATACAAACACACGCACTGCATTCACACACACACACACACACATATAATAGTAATATATATATATATATATTATAATATATAATAATATATAATAATATATAATAATAATATATATATATATAATAATATGTCAAAATATGTAATGATATACAATAAGAAGAATAATAAACATAATCATAATTATGTATATATTGATATATATATATAATATTTTTATTATCGAAGGAAGTTTAGAAGTCAAACTTCCGACAATATGGACAGATGACAAGCAGTGCAGGGCAGAGGCAGAGAGAAGAGAAAGATTAGAAGAGAGAAGATCAGAGAAGAGAAAGAGTCAGAAGAAAGAAGATGCAGATGCGCGAAAAGGTAGGAAAGTCGTGATCCACTGCGTTTTTCCAATGATTTGTGGCTCAGGAGGGTCGAAAAGTAGGCTCGCTAAAGCGGCGGGTGCGGAGCCAGCTGGCCAGATGAGAGATGAAAAATTGCACGCCGTTGTGGCGCGAAGCACATTTCGAAGTGAAAATGTACAAAACACCTCAGCGTCGGACCGCTTTTGGAAGTTGAGCTGTCCAAAAAGTGCACGTCGTTGTGGCGCGAATCACATTTCCAAGTCAAAATGTACAAAACACACCAGATGTCGTTTCGCGTGGCAGGCGCAAGGGATTGTGCGCCTTGTCAAAAGTGAGCAGAACATGAGGGCTTTGCAGCATTTTCAACGACAACCACCACTGCACCACACTACACTCCAATACACTACACTACAACTACAACTTCAACTACACCTTCACTACATTCCACTACACTACACTCCACTACCTTACACTGCACTCAATTACACTCAATTTCACTACACTACATTACATTACACTACACTCCACTACACTACATTACACTACATTTAAGACTTCACCACTTCCACACAGAGTTGTTTTTGCCAAAAAAAATAAAAAACCAAAAAAAAAACATACTCAAAAACAGACTTGTAAAAACAATCAACTGAAAAAAAACGACTCACAAAAAAAACAAAAACACACTCAAAAAAAATTAGGTAAAAAACACATATACAAAAGAGGAATCCAAAAAAAAACAAAAATAAACTCAAAAAAACACAAAAAAACTAGGCCAGACACAAACTCATACTAGAGTAGCTAGAGTAGAGATCAAATAGTACTATAAGACTACAAAACAGTGGTGAACAAATAGCAAGTAAGAGTGGCTCATAGACAAACAAAGACTAAGAGTAAGTAAGACCAGCCTACATTGACTATGACTATAATTAAAACTAAGTGAAGACTAAGACTAAGAAATAAGTAAGACAACAATACTGATGAACTAACAGTTGGAGTTAGACCAATAGCAAGGCTAAGTAAGACTAAGATCAAGCAGAAGTTAGTACTACTACTACTACTGCTACTACTACTACTACTGCCTACTACCGGTCCTACTAGTACTACGCAGTACTTCTAAGTACTACTACTTACTACTAACTACTACTTACTACTACTCCTCCTCCTACTAAGTGCTACTACAACTACAACAACAACAACAACTACTACTACTACTACTGCTACTACTGCTACTACCTGGTAAGGTAACTACCTACCACCGTCAGTGGACCAAAAGTGAGAGAAAATAGATCAGGTTGGCTGGGCAGCACGGTTGTGATCATGATGATGATGATGATGGTGGTGGTGGTGATGATGATGATGACGACATGTGACAAGTGAGAAAAGTGAAGTTCTCTGAAATAATGACCAAACATAGGCATACATAAGCCATGCACTGCAATAAGCCATTTTCGTCCGGATCGGATCGAGGTAGTTTGGATTTGAAAATCTGCGCGCTGTACACTGCACACTACAGTTCCAATCCACAAGAATTCCGCACCAGTCCCAATCAGTCACTCTAAATTTGATTCTAGTTGCTTGTTAGCTACTGGCCCTACCTGGCCCTGGCCCTGCTCTACCACTCGCTAGCTGCTAGCTGCTGCTACTAGCTGTTATTAGCTGCTATGACTGCTATGACTATGAGCTACCAGCTACCAATATAAAGACAGCTGAAGTGCTACAGATACCTACCTACCGGCCATCAAATGATTCAGATAACATCCAAAAAGAAAAACCAGCCCTCTCACTCACTAACTATCCAGCCCTACTCACTCAATATAATATACTAAGTCTAAGTTCTGCCGGCATGTCTTCAGTTGACCTGACTGGGAAAAACAGCGGCTATACCCAGTGAATGCTGCTGCTGCAATCACTTCTTCTTGGATGCCTGCGATGCCGGCATCGATTGCAAGCGCTGGGAAGGCGCCGTAGTGGACCATGAGCGATGAATCTCAGTGGCTTTCTGATAGATCATGGGCTGAAGGTATTCAGGGCCTACGGGAATCTTCTCACCCGCAATCAAAATCACCTGGGCATTCAAGCTTGGGAAAGCTGCTGCCTTGGACTTGCTGTTGATAGCATACAGAAAGATCCCCTCCGCGTAGAATGCCCTGAAGGACTTGAGTTTGTCCTCCCACTCCCCAAGCAGCCCCTCCAAACCTGCCCAGTCTTTGAGCAACTGCGGATGCTTTGCCTGAAGCGACTGCAATGCCTTTGCAGTCTTGCGAACAGCTGACTGGAAAGACTCAATCTTCTTGATGACCTGACAAAGAGATGGCAGGCAAAGAAAAAACATCTAATCCAGAAAACCGCTACAGTTACCCGTCAACAGATCTAACAAACATGCTCAGAACTGAGCAAATCAATAGTTTACCTTTGATCATAAGTAAAGGTAAATTAGACATACTTGACTTGATGACGGCCTACGGGTATGTTTTCCCGATTCTTGAAAACAAAATACTGTTCACACTCACGTGAATGCTCCTGCAGTCCAGCCAATCAATCTATCAGTCTATCCAGCATAAAATTAAGAATCAACAACTCATCAATGACCTATCTGAATCCTGCATGTCAAGATGAAAACCGGCCTCACCAATCTTGAGGATTTCATCTCCAAGTGGCTTGCCACCGTTCTTGTACACAGTCTCATTGGCGATCTGCAGGACATAATCGTAGTCTTCAAGTTTCTCAGAGTCAAGACGGGTCTTCCAGTCATCAGTCCCTTTGCACTGCATGTTCTTGCAAAGCTCTGCGCAACGATCAAGAAGCTTGTCCACATCACTTGCACGAGAAGCAACTTCAGCATCGATTCCGTTGGCCAGAAGCCGGCCATTGGGCTGCAGGTCTGGAAATTCCAAAAAATCTGTGGTAGCCAAAGCTTGGATCAACTCTCCGATGTTCCCGTCCTCCTGGTTTGCCAAAATTTCTGCGCACTTGGCCTTGGAATTCCGAGCTGCTTCGAGTGCTGTAGTCACAGCCATGTAAGACCGGCCCAGACCCAGAAGAATTGAGGAACTTGCATCACGCGCAACGCGCTCTTTGCAAGTCTGACCAAGCATCTTGTACTTCTGGATGGACTCCCGGAAAGAAGCCACAAGATTGATCGCTTTGATCATGTCAGTCAGATAGGGCAGGTAAGAATGCTCGAGTTTCTTGGAAATGGTCATGAGAACTTTCTCCATGTTGGCAGCTTTCGCCGACGTGAAATCTTCAGCCATGGCCTGCGTGGCCAAATGATTGGAAGATGCGAAATGATTACTTAGACTTAGACTTAGTGCTACATTGCTGCTACTGCTACTCTTGCTACCGTACCCTCCCCTACCTGGCCCTACCTCGTGATCTGTGCTATGATTCTGTTGTTTGCGTCTGTCATCATCTATGGCTTTAATCTATATATGAACTATTAAGCAAATATTTTGCTCTGGCTCTGTATCAGTACAAAATAATAATAATAATAATAATAATAATATATGTATATATATATTATGTACAGCAAAGAAAACCTGAGATTGAATTGAATCATCTCGAATCTAGAATCTAGAATCTACCGTCTTGACATCAAAAAGCGAAAACTAGAATCTAGATTCTAGATTCTAGATCCAAAAACAAAATTATAGTTCAAAGTTCAAACTTGACACGGGCCCGGACAAAGAACCAACACTGCAAACAACCCCACCCAAGCCGTCCTGCTGTCGCACGCCCTCAAGCAAGAAGTAAAGTCCATCACCGCTCAAAGTCTCCAGCAACTCTGCAGGAAGGTCGTCCAATTTGAGCATGGAAGCTTCAAACTTCTGCCAGTCATACTTCACCTCCCCAGTAGACGAATGATCCTGACGAGCTGTTTGCAGCAGCTGCTGCGCGCTCTTCCAAACAGCATCCCGCTGCGTCTTCGCATGCCACTTTTTCAGATCTTGCCGAAGGGACATGAGACCACGATCGTGATCAAAAAACTGCAAGCATTCAATGAACTGCTCCACCTGCTGAATGTCAACCTCGCTGGGATCTTTGCAGTGAATCGCGTACTTGCCCAACTTGGATGCAAGCACCGGAAGATGCTGGACCAAGTCATCTGTGGCACCAGTTTTCAAGTTGTCTTGAATATCTGCCAAATCGCCGATGCAAGCCACAAATGCAGGAATGGCCGATGCATCCTCGCACTGCCCCAGCGCATTTGACATCGCCTCTGTGTGAGCCGTGAGTTTGGGATACCATTCCTTTGAGCTACCAGCCACTCTGCGGGTTTCTGTCAAAGCTTCCACCCACCATTGCGAGTCCTGCATGACAATCATGACGCTCGAAAGCAACTTGAAGATTGTGGTAGAGCCCGATGATGAACTGCTGAGTGGAACCAAATCTTTTGCACTCACTCCAAATGCCTCTGGGCTGACCAGCAGCACGGCTAGCAAGGCTTTGCCAACTTCAAGAAGGCACTGGTAGACGTCCGGCACATTGGAGGGACTCGTGTCATTGATTGCGGCGAGGTCTTTCACCGCACGGTCCGTAGTCAATCCTTTTACCAGCTTCACCAAGAGAGCCTCGATGACTGGAGCATGCACCTCGGGGTTCTCCATCATCTGCACGAAGCAATCGCAAGCCAGGCTTTCATGAATGCAATTTGCAAGAGCCTGCCAGTTCAACATGAATTGGTTGTCAGGTCTGCCCTAGGTCTATAACCGAACCATATTTCTTCTACTGCCTAACAGGGGAACCTAAACCTAAACTTGAGCTTCTATCTTCTCTTCTTTTCATAAATTGAATCAGCTGATCCAGAACTATAATCATACTGAACCCCTCTCGACCTAGGATCTAGGAATCTAGAATCTAGGAACCCAGGACGGAACCAGAATCTGCCTATCTATCTATCTATCTATCAAGCAATCAATCAATCTATCTATCTATCTACGTGGTATGTATGTACGTGTCTATCGAATCTAATCTACGTATCTACTTACTGATTTAACTACATACCTATATATAGCTATGTCCTATCTATCTATCTGTCTGTCTGTCTGTCTATCTACCTATCTATCTACCTAGGACCTAAAATCTATCGGATCGATCGATCAATCGATTTGATCGTTCAATCGATATATGAATTTATCTGTCCGGGACCCGCCCCACCCGTCCTTCCACATGTGCTCGATAAGATCTGCACGTGATAATTCCTCCTCCTCCTCTTTGTCTTCCGCTTCCTCTCCCCTCTTGGCATCAGGGTCAAAAGCCTGGTTGGTGGGGTTGTACTTGATCTCCACCAGCTGTGACTGTTCTGCATCTTGCAGGAAGGAAATCAATGATGAGATCCTGGGTTTGACGGGGTCAAATTCATCGGCTCGCTCATCTCCATCTGGGAATGGAATGATCAGGTCAACGAATTCTCGATACATAGTCTCGGCTTCACTGCGGTGTTCCTCCTCTTCTGTGTTGTGGTATTTTTCCCAAGCTTTCTGCACGCTTGCCAGGGTGTCTTTGGCATATTTTTCTGTGATTGCCAGCTGGATCTCAAACGGCACTGTGGTATTCTGCTGGGCCAATCCATTCAAGGCTTCTCGCACCTTTGCATCAGTTGGAATGGTCTTCGGATTCTTGCTCAGCAGATTGGCCAGAACCTGGGCAAAGTCGCAGTACTTGATCCTCTGTCGCAATGTCAATGCTTGCCGGGCTCCGGCGTCTTCCAAGCGGGACAGAACTCGTCGAGCCTGAGGGCAGCAAAATAATGATGTACATATCCTTTCTGTGGAATCTATACCTACCTGGACTTGACTAGACTAGACTGTGACTAGACTAGACTCGACTAGACTAGACTAGACCTAGTTACCTAGTTTGCTATTTTTCTCATTGTTATTGCCCAAACAAAGATTTTTTCAAAAAGGGACACCCACACACTTCACTAGTCACTAGACTGAACTGGATCATTGTAGTGATCCGTCGGAAACTGAATCCCAAAACGTGCAAGTAAACAAGATTGTTGAAGGAAAAAATAATGCCATGCCATAGCTGTATAGCTTCCTTGGACTGGATAGGCAAATCGGCTCCAATCAGGCCCCCTGCAAGAATAGAATCGAAGTTTTACATCTGTTCAGATGTTACACACACACACACACCCAGACCCTGTCACCATCCCCCTTCCCCCTCCTCCCCTCTTCCCGCCGCCAAAGTGTTTCTTTTTTGCATGTTCCTCTCTTTTCCTTTTTCTTGGTGGTAAACCAACAAGTAAATTCAGCTAGCAGCTACAATTCCCGGTAGTTTTGCGGTTGAGTCACTGCTTAAAGTTGCGCGAAGTAAAGCCAAATATTCGCATACAAATATCTCACCATACTCTAAACAGTTCAAGAGTGTAGTGTGTTGAAGATAGCTTGGGCCTACTAAATTACCAAAGGATACTGTACAATGCTTTGCTATGCTGTGCTACGTAAGGCTTTAGTCGAGTCTAATCACAGTCACTAGCGGCTAGCGGCTAGCCGGCTAGCTAGCCTTCTGAGACAGTGCTGAACAAAGTGGCTATTATAATCAGGCCGTAGTGCGGCTACAGACCCCGAATCACCTTGCCTGATAAATCGATCTGCCATTCTTTTGAAGGAAGCAGGCGTCGATCGAAATCTTGAAGAAAGACTCTGGAACGTAGCCCAGCCGATTTGCCACCTCGCTCAAGTCAGGGTCCTGTTCTTTAAGCTTCTTTGCTGTCTCCGGGTCCATCCTAGCCTCATAGTGCGACTTGCCCACGGCAGCACTTGATGACGTTTTTCGTGCTCTGGGGCTGGGTGAGCGGTCATCTTGTCCTCCTTTCTTTGCTGTTTTTTTTCTCGCTTGGGATTTCTTGGGTGCAGATTGATTGGCCTCGGCTGCCTGGTTGCCCAAACAAATTCCGTCTTGCTCATCTTCTAAGTCGATTGCAGGGGTGCCCCCATCATCATTCTCATCTCCTTCTCCCTTCACTGTCGCTTTGTTCGCCTGCACCAATGAAATGGGCGTGGTTCAACTCAATAAGTGATTTGGTATAGTATAGTATAGTAAAGTAATATAGTATGGTATAAGTATAGCATAGTATAGTAAAGCATTTAGTAAGTAAATTTAGCTTAGTAACCATCAGTGACTGACTAAAAAGTTAAAGAAATTAAGTTAAATATTTATTTTTTGGTGAGATGGTATTGTTTGCCGTCGTCGTAGTCGTAGACCTGAGGCTATAAGCTCTAAGCTTGTAAGCAGAGGTCCTAGGTCCTAGGTCCTAGGCTCAGAGGTCCTAGTCCTAGTCACTAGTCACTGGTCTGCTAGCCCTAGTTTGTTCTTCGCAAAGCTGGTCATCGAATTTGCATGATATCACATGATATCTTTGTGATTCCAGTGACAAGTCTGGTAATTTTTCTGTGCGGTATCTATGCCAAGACCCCAGAGCCTCCTTTTCTCTTCGTTGTTCAATGATCTTGTTGGCTTTGTCGATCAAAGAAGTCAAGGTCGGCAGGTAGTCTCGGCCACTGCTGGTCAAATGTGAAGGCCTGCTTCGAACCTCAGCCTCCCGTGCAAGGCCAAAGACATTCTTGCCTTGGTTCTTGCACATCTGGTTGGCAGGAGCCAAAATCTCCTGTGTGTGGTTCTGGGTCTCATCAATCCAAACCCTTGTTCTCCTCAATGCTAAAACCTCATTGAGCGGCAAAGGTCCCAAGTCTGCAAATGAGATGTAAATGCCTTCGGACGTGCCTGAGCCGTCTTCGTTCTGGCGTCTCACCATCTCGAGTTTCAACGCTTTGTGTCCAAGCCCTGTGAATTTGACCAGCTCTGCCTCCCCAATGAAGGCACACTCATAGTAGTGGGTGCGGCCAGTGCTTGTAGTAGTACAAACTTGGCTTGGCGGCTTGAAGTTGACTTCCTTGCCAGCTTCTGGACGCTCCTGGCAAAGGGTGGACTCATCTGCGTCCCTGCGCACTTGTGAATTCTCTGGGTGGGACTTGTCATGGTAGATCCTGATGCCGTCATCCCACTCCTTGCTGCAGCCTTCTGTGATTGCCTTGTAGCAGGCAATGCACCCCTGCTGCTTAGGATTGCCATCTTTGTCCAAGCGGAACGGTCTCTCCTGATAAGATAAGAGTCAAGCCAAAGACAGTATAAGGAGTCAAAGTACAGTAACCAATCCTTCCTAATCTTACTCCCGTCATAGTCTTTGGTAGCAACCCTACTGCAAATGCTACTCCTACGTCCAGTCCCTGGGAATTTACTAAATTGAACATGTTGTTACTATAACATAGACATGTATTGCATTACGAAATGATCTAGCTAGGTCCTAGGTCCTAGGTTTCCAAAAAGTTTCCGAAGACCCAAATCTTTCCCGTGCCTTTTCTTGAAGGCTTCGGTTTGGGGGTTTGGGGGACGGATAATACACTTGGTTAACCTGTTTTCCCCTTTCTGTCCTCATTGGTCTTGCCGCACTTCAAGCACTGCACGGTTTTGACGCCTTTCCGGCGTCTCTTTGTAGATCCTTGAACACCATCACCATCAGAACCAGAGTCATCTTGGTCTTGGGGGGGATCTGGTCGGCTAGGGCGGCTGGGTGCTGTTGTTGCCTTTCCCTTTGCCGGCTTACTCCCTGGTTCCGCCTTCACAACAGTTGCTTTTGCCTCAAGGGGTCTGACAAGTGGCGAGTGTGTTGGATATTCTTGTATACGAACATATGTGCGCGTGTGTTTGTACAATATTCTACTATATATGCTATGCTATTCGTTCCACTATGTGTATATATTATGGGTGTGTATGTGTAAATATATATATATACAAACAATATAACTTATAATTATATTAATACATGCATGTGTGCATGTGTGTTTCTTGCATGGCATTACATTACACATTGTTTGGTTTATGGCATGCAGATTTGAGGCAACTGATACTTAGACTTAGGCTCCTCATTGCGGTGTCTTTGCACACTGTTCGAAACATACTGTAAAATGCCCATGGCCGGAAAAGTGGAAATGTTGTTGAATTGAATAGTGACTAGTGACTAGTGATTGATGGGATTAGCCCTTTATATAAACTTTAAGTTTTAAGCCGAACCATGTAAAGCAATCTGCCCAACGCATGTCCTTAGCAGCAGCAGGCTTTCCTGTGTCAGGTCTTCGGGGCGCCATATGCCCTGGAGTCGCGTAAAAAGCACAGCGCACAAAAACCTGCAAACAAATCGCTGGGTTGTAGCAAATGGCTCAGCGCCCAAAAATTTGAGCACTGAAAATGATGCGCGCATGTGTTGACTGTCACTTTTGAAAGTTCAATCTGTCAAAAATAAAAAGGAGCTGATAACTGAAACTTGCTAATGTGGTTTTGAAGCTTGGAAACATTGTGCAATGCAAAGGGCATAGGACATAGGATGCAAAAGAAATTTTCTTGGACTCTGAATCTTTCGGAATCTAGTCAAGTTTGTGGTGAAGAATGTAGGCCCTGGCCCGCTGTAGCGGCCTGCCAGTCTGCCACGCGAAAAAACTTTGTACAAAAGTTTTAGCTCTAACGCGTGCCGAACACTGACAAATAATGAGCTGACCAGATGGCCAGATGGCAAACATACTGTATTTGAATATCAAATAGAGCCTGGATGTAAGCAAGGACCCCTGATTCCCTAAGCCTAAGCCTTAGGTCTAGGCCTTAGGCCCTAGCACTAGATGCGTTCTCAGTGACTTTCGAATTTGTTACTGCTGAAAAAGGCTATTTGTTACTGCTTCTGCTCAGAAAATTTCACTGCTGACAGCTCATTGCTTCAGTGGTAAGTACCACTTCTTCTTGGACTACTTGCGCGCTGCATAGGTCATAGGTTCCAACTCATGCATTGCTGCGATGGACAAGAAAACACCTAATTCAGAACGTAGGACGTAGGATGTAGAATAACATGCAATGCTAAGCTGCTATGGCAAGTTTTAAAAATATGGAATCTTGAATCTTGATTTCTTTACTTGTTGATTGAAATGATTGAGGATGGGTACTGTCGGAACCTATGCTATGCCATATGCATTCCATGCTGCTTTGCTTTCTGTATTGTATTAGCCAGCTAGCCCACTGTTTCGCCTAGGCTGCTAACTAACATAGCTACTGGCACTTGTTGCAAAGTGCAATGTACAATGCTGCAACCGTCTGTTCTAGGCATGGTGCAGCCATTCCATTCCCAACTAAGGATCTAATTTGGTTCTGGCTCAGATGGTCAGGAAACTTCAGGGATCTAGAGAACCCATGCATGAGATGAACCTCCTCAGGTAGTATGATGGAATCATGGTAGTAGGAGTAGAGCATGGTGCTGGTAGTCATGGTGAAAATCTTCTCGCCCTCGTGTGAAACGGTTCGCCTGCTATGACTTTGGGAAAGATCAACAAAGCTGCCACGCATTGCATTTTCAACAGAAAGAACTTTTCCACTTCTCATCAACTTGTTCTTCCTTTCAATGGTGATGACGTCCAGCAAGTCAAGCACTCGATCATTTTTGGGAAAACCTTGCCCTCAGAAAGCGGGTCTACTTGTCCACGGGGCGTAGTGTGGGGAAGCTCCATACTTATCCCGCAGGTTTGCAGACAGAACCCTCCACTTGGCAGTGACTGAGTCCTGCAGTAGGGATAGGGCCTATCGGGTAGGGGGGGCTCTGGGGACCGGACCGACGGGTACTGGGACCGGGGATGGGGCCTAGCCTAGGGGCAGGGCAGGGATCAGGCCACCCGGGGACTGGGAAGGACTCAAAAAAGAATCAAAAATAGACTCAAAAAAGAATCGAAAAAGAATCAAAAAAGAATCAAAACTGCAGCAAAATGTAGCAAAATGCAGCAAAACTGTAGCAAAATGCAGCAAACTGCAGCAAAATGGAGTAAAATCAGCAGAAAACCTAGCAAAACCTAACAAAATCCAAGGGAAACCTAGCAAAACCTAGCAAAATCCAAGGGAAACCTAGCAAAACCTAGCAAAATCCAAGGGAAACCTTTCAAATTTCCTTTCAGCAACCCCGGTTCCCCTGACCCACCTGACAATTCAAAAAAAAATCAAAAAAAATACAAACATGTAGTCAAGGAAAATGGTGGTTTCAGGGGTGAATCAAAAATGGAATCAAGAAAAACTCATTTGAACCAGATGGTGACAGATATTGACGTACCAACCACCTCAGCCGGGACCCAAGACCCAGGACCCAGGAGCTTCCAAGTCCAAGTGAAACATACTGAATGAATATGTAAAACTAAAATAGGTACAGTAAGGTAAGGTTAGATTCGATTCCTTTTTTTGCCTTTTTACACCTGAATAGGTTTGGCAACCTTGCCAGCCAAATCTACTTAATTCCAATTCTTTGATTTAAAAAAATGCCCGGCACCCTGTAACTGTACCCTGTAAACTGTAAACTGTACCCACTGTACCCACGCACCAAACATCTCCTGCTCATGGCTTCGGCCATTGCGCGATACTCCTGCATCTGGGCATTTCCCCGCCCAAATCGCTCCTTGACGATCGTACAAGATGTCCTCAAGGTCTGGTGAAGCAGTGCTCTGGGCCAAGTTGATCAATTCCTGCCAGTTGTTGATGTACCATGGTGAATGGTGCCAAAACGTGGAAAACAACATAAAACTTTTGTTTATTGTTACTTTTAAGTTTTACAAAAACGTCAGTCTATCTGTCATGATAAGGGTCATAGCAGTCATAGCATATAATATAAGTATCGGCATATGGAACCAGCTCATTCCATCCGCAACTGTAGATAAACACATGCTTTACAATTTACAAACAATTATATATAAAGAGCCATAGGTTGCAAGCGGTATACCAGGCATTTCCCAAAACTAGACTCGACTTTATTTTCTTTCATTGGGCCCACAATATCCCAAAATTAGGCTTCTTGATGCCCCTGCACACATACAATTGTGATATGATGCTGATGATGTACACACCCATATATAATGTAATATTATGTAATATTCCCCTAAAACCGATACCTTGTGGATAAATATGCTTACAGCCAGATTCATGCCTAGACTCCTAGACCGGGTACTGGATATCCTCATTGTTTTTGGGCAAATTCCATTCAATTGTAATAATTAGAATCATTAGAGTCGTTACAATACTGTATTTCAGGCATCATCCATTATATCCTATGATGTCTATATTACTATATATCAGATAGATAGATAGATATATATATATATATCAGTTGAACGACAAACCCAAGAATTGTCATGGATGGTCACTTCAAAGGGCATAAATGGAAATTCAAAGGGGGCACCAGGTGAAGTTGAGTAGTAGTAGAGGTTTTGGATGAATGGTGAGGTCATCTATCTACATAACTCCTTGATCTGTCATGTTGATGTCGAATGTTTAAAGTGACTGCGGTGGCTACAATACAAATCACTTGACTAGTAGCTAGTAACCAGTCAGTGATATTAAACTGGCTGACCTGGGCAGGTAAGACAAAACTTCATATGGCAATGGCATATAATATTGGAATAGGGCATGTGCATAATATTGGAATAGCCCAAGGCTCCTCCATATGAGATTTCAGAAGAGAGACATCTTCGAGGAAAAGTCGAAAGTGCTTCTTGCTGAGGAACAGGATGTAGTACCTATCCGGCGGGCAACAGTAAATATGGCATGAACACAGGTGGTTGGTTTTCAACCCGGACCATGTTGCTAAAGATAAGAAATTGCACGACATAATTGTTATGTTACAGTATGTGCAAAATGTCAATATCTATGCCTATGTCTTAGTTCTATTTCTACCTACTCGAACACAACTTTGCAGATTCTTGCGTCCTGATGATCTTTGGTTTGTGTCCGACTATCTGAAAGCACTGCTGCGCTCCTACATGTCCCCCAGAAAAAGTAATAAATAAATAGGGCCCCACGTCTTAAAAGATGAGAAATAAATTTGACTATTTAAGACTTGTGCGCACACCATTAGTGCTTCCCATGATGTGAAAATAAACCATATATCATACTACCGCTGCAATAGCAAGAACCGAGAGTCCAGAGCCCATAGATGCCATAGAACCTATCGGACCTATCAAATGTAATCTAATCTGCACTCCCTTGGCAAATTTGGTTTGATAAGCAACCTGGAATGGATTGGGATTGGGAAAATGGGACCCTCTATTGCCAGGTAATCTCTCTAGTGACTCCAGCGGCTCTAGCAGTAGCAGCAATGCCGCAATATGTGGAAATGCCTCAAAATAGGGTAAAGGGTCTTAGGGGGGCCCAAAACTGTATGTTTTATTGAAAAATAAAATCGTCCCTCCCCTATTTTGAGACATTCCCATGTGAGCAAAAAACAAGGGTTTGGATTTGCTTGCCTTCACAGGCATCATGACTAACCGACTAACTGACTAAAACCTGTTCGTTTTAAAGATGCGAATGATTGAAATGCTCTCTTGATTCGATTCTTGCATGCCAAAAAATAGCAACAACTCGACCCAAACCCAGCACTTTGTTGGACCACTCTGTGGCAGAAAGTCATGCAATGTCTGCTGGCTCATCGGCTTCATCAGGTCGCCT